CATTCGTTCTCGTTTTAATCATTTGCACCGCGCGATTATGTTAACTATCTCGTCGGTCATCGTTACGCAGCCGTCGCGATATAATAATTCTTCCTATATAAACCGGGCATCCGGGGGAAACATAGCGCCGAGCGTTTCGGGACGATTCTTTCATTCCGGCATTCCTCTCGCCAGCTCTCGAGCACTAAGCAATTCACCACGCGCAAAGAGTTAACGTCAGATGGACAGGTGTTATCCGTAGTAACTCGAACAGCTCCATCGGGATTGGCCGCCACGGAGATGCCGAGGAGATGCAACAACGGCCTCAACGGTGGTGGTACACGAGCGGGCGAAGCGGTTACACGAGGAAATTAGACCGCAAAGTTCAACAAGGTTTATGACGTTGACGCGATCGTTTTGTTTGCACAGGCACGAACGAGAGGACAACGGGGGGGAGGGGGGGGGGGCGTATACTCGGAGTCGTTCGTCAAACGAATCCCCGATTAAGCCGCCGCAACGTTGTGTCATGCGCCCCGATCGACTCCTACTCTCGTCGAGTGGATATTAATTAACTCGCTTCCGTAGATCGGCCGTAGGTCGCTTTAAAGATGCATCGTTCCACGCGCCTTTGATCTTCACGCTTGATCAAATTAATTACCGCCCGTTTCCGGGGGAACTCGGCACTAATAATCACTTCTAAGCTGTATTACTAATGTAACGCTCGCGCGGAGTGTATTTGAATGCCACGCTCGTTCAAACGCGATACGCCAAATACGAGAAATACGCGGTTAGAGGTTAATTCAAGGGCCAGGAAAAGGATTCAAGAAGGATTTTCCTGGATAATATTTGATTCTCTGGATTAATTTTAAAAATAATCGATGCATAGAGTATTTTTACATAGAATATTTTTACATAGAGTATTTTTTTTTTTTCAAGTGGATTTAGTCAAACGTTTCTAGATTTGTATTATTAATATATTGTTAGATAAAATTTTTAAAAATACTATAATATAATATGAATATGAATAAAATGAATTAATATTAGAATAAAACATACATATAGAAATACATATAGTTACATATAGAAATGTTGAATTCCTATATAATATGAAGATAGACATTTAAAATTTCGTCTATTAGATAAATACAGCTCGATATATAATAATATAAATAATATAAATGTAAATTACAAACAAAATCTATTAATACCATTTAGAAAAGCAATGATGTAATAAAGTGAAGTGTATAAAAGTTTTATTTTACCAGTATTATAAAAACATATCGCTAATTGCTTTTCCATTTGCGGGAAGCGCCTACATCATACATCAAGATCTTTCTTCCTTGTGCACCATGATAAATTACTGACGTTTGCCATTTATGAGTTTAATTTACTCTAGAGAAGAAGGTGTGGTCATACAATGACGTCACGGCGATGCACATATGTGTATAAGGTGGGCGTTTGCGTTTTACAAGGTGGAACCGATAGCGTTAAGTGAGCTGTACGTCGCGGTCACGTCATAGGTGTGTCACTATTCGAATGAGGAAGTGAAATGCTACGTGAAGAGTCACGGGCTAAGTATGCCGGCATACTTTTTCTTGGATAGTGGACATACGATTAATCTTGTAGACAGAGCAATGACGTCGTTCCACTTAAGTTCCCACTTAAGTTTGCTGCTATTAGAACGCTCAATATTAGAAGCTTCCTTAATCATAGCTATAAACTGCACTAACACTAAAACAACTTTTAATTAAAAATATTTTCATTCTATATATATAAATAACGATGTGTAATTATTACATATTTAATTAAAATTTTTAGAGAAGTTCTTCTCTCTCTCTCTCTCTCTCTCTCTCTCTCTCTCTCTTCTTCTCTCTGAGATTGTAGCACGCTTTAATTGCCAAGTGTGACGCGAATGCATTTTGACACAGGACACAACGGTGTTGTGAGAGTTGACGGCTATCCGGAATAATTATCTGTCATTTTACGTATGAACGAGGACGATGATTTTTACAAGCGATGAAAAGTAGAGTTCGCGCGTGCGACGAACTACTAAGAGATATTTATTACTCAAAAGAATGATAATTTTCCTCACGAATGCAAGATGTGCCATTTTTCTTATCGAACCAGAACTTCTTTCAGATCCTTATTGAATCTGACATTGATTTTTTTTATTCACAGAAACGCTGATGCAAGAATAAATTTAGAAGAATAATGAACGCGAGAATCACTTTTTATAAACTTGGCGTCCTTCAGCGATGGTTTTCAAAATGTTTGTTTATATCGAGTTCTTTCGCGTATGATCTTTCTAGAGTTCTATTCGCAAATCGATCTTTCCGCATCGCATAACGCGTACGCGTCGTGACGCTCGTCTATAATTATGCATAGATTCGTCGCGTCGTATAATCTTCTTGCACGTGTAACATCATGTATATTTGTCATAGGAAATTGCTATTCATGGACGAAACGAGGTATAATAAATTAAAATAGACACACGTGCAGCTTATCTTCGAATAGCGCAACTTAATATCGATAATATTGGGTTTTACGTACACAAATACATTCGTGTTGCGCATACGAGTTAAGCTTAATCCAATTAGGATACGAGCAAGCCAAAATTGATCGAATGAACCTCGATTTATTATCTATAGTCATAATCTTACGTTAAAACATATTTGAATAGTATACAAATTGAATCTTATAAAACTACCTTACAAATTTGTTAGTAATTCTATTCATTTTTTTTATTTACAATTAATTTATGAAACATTTATATGCTTTTTTGTTGATATTTCGTTATTTTTGATTCAAGGAAATATAAATCTGTTTTTATCGCTTGCTAGAATTTATCTTCCTTTTTTTGCACAAACTATATTTATGAATAATATATATCTATAAATTACTGCGAAGTTTCCGCTCTTTTAAAGATTTCATTTTTATATTTTTAATTTTAAGATATAAAAAGATATATAATTAATAATATTGTGTACAAGTTTGGTAGTTTTATATAAATTTTAGTCATGTCATAGTCAAAAAAAGCATTGCATTTGTGAAAATCTAACAATTTTATAAATAAATGATGCATTTATATCATATTTAAAGTTGAAGTTTTATCACATTAAAAAGTTTTATCTTATTTTCAAGTCATCTGTACACAACTTTAAATCTTCTTTCTTTTTTTTACAAAATATTAATGCAGACATTTTTGCAATCAGTCAGGTACGTAACACTGGTTTTCAGTTTAATCTGAAATGAGTAAAATGCGGTGTATATTTTCTACCTTCTGAGATATAAAATCGAGATTTCTTTTCGCGAACGGATCTCTACAGATGAGGCATTTTTTCGTGCCCTCTCGATTTTATTCTCTACTTTTACAAGCCTTTCTCCTTGCGCACTTCTCGAATCTGAAGTGGACTCCGTCGCGAGGAAGTGGTTGATTCATTCGCTCGCTCTTTGGCCGATCTCTCGTAACGTCTATTTTCGGCGGCAGAGAGATACGTAAACACACAACGCTGCACCTGTGGCACGTGCCGACGTCATTTCCGCCTCGCGGTATTTCAAAGCACGGGAGGTGTTAACAGGTGTGCGCAGGTGTTCCTGATCTCGCAGGTGGATTGCGCGCGATTGTACAATCGGCACCCCTCCATTTAAACTCGCTTTATTGGTCAGCTGTGTGCTTTATTAGCCGCCACAATCATGTTTTCTTTCGGTTCGCGGTTTGCTACGTTTACCGGGCCTCGTGACTAACGCGCGACGTTATTTTGGATTTTTATTGGTAAATCATGAGCGGACGTGAAGCGTGATTCACGGAACGTAATCGCCAGCAACGAGACCGATGGAAATGCGTAATGTTAAATATATACAACTGTATCAATTACGTTACAATAAACGGTGTACTAAAAAGAATGTTGCGTTGGGCTTTGTTACACAGTCAGTCACAGTCAGTCTGCTCATTTGTATATATAAGTACGTAATAGAGAATAAAATTATTATTATTATTATTTTTTTTAATAAATCGATTTATAGATGTTATTAAGTTAACAACGAAATGAAACTATAGTAACATTTTATTTATGAAATAACTCAGGAAAAAGATTACTATTTTTTATTTCCGTCATTCGTACGCATAAATATTATAAATTATATTAATCGAGTAGTTGAAATATAATTTGAGACATTATTAAAAATGTTATAAAATATAAAATAGAAACAGTTTTCTGCAGGAGTAAGATTAAAATAACTGTGATTTTCTCATTGATTTTTCTAAATTAACAGTCAATTCATTCAGATTATCGTTACACATCGAATTCTTCCATTATTTGTCTAATAATTAAAAATGTGTGATGCAGGCTTTTGTAAAAGAAGTGAAGAAGATTAATGTTATTTTGCTAATGACAGAAGAAAATAAGAGAAGATCACGAAGTATTGAATACTAAATCTTATTGAATTTTCTTTATTAATCATTAACAAGTTGATGACAAGTTATCTTAGATGCGCGCATATTTCTGCACGTAATTTACAATCAAGGATATGTCCGGTACGCGACAAAAGATGAAGTGATTTTACTACAGCCGCGCTCATTTATTCTAGACTTACGTCTAGGATTTAATAATAGCGCACCGTTGAAATCGATGATACGAGAAGGCGAGGACGAGAAAACGATCGCGCGCGGAAGAGAGAGAGAGAGAGAGAGAGAGAGAGAGAGAGAGAGACG